CCGCCGCCGCCATGAGGAAGAGCTCCTCGTCCCCGGACGCCCCGGGCGCGGGCGGGCCGCCGCCGGCCTCGCGCGCCGCGGGCGGCGGCTCCGAGGCGGCGCGGACGTCGCCGCGCGACGTGGGGGCCACCATGTGGGCAACCGTGCTCGTCGGGGCTGCCCGCGCCCGGCCGGGGGCCGCCGACGCCGGGCGGCCTAACGCCGGGGCTCTGACCCCGGGCTCAGGCTCGGGCTCGTCACGTCGCGCGCGCGTGGGACCGTCCCGCGCCAAGTGGGTGCCGGGCGTCCCCGACGACGCGGACGACGGCGACGACGGCGACGCGGGAACGACCGCGACCGGGTGCCCGGGCGCGCGCGCGGGGTCGCACCGCGGACGCGCGTCCGGGCAACCACCGGGGCCTCGCGCGTGCTGGCCCCAGGTTGCCGGACGCTCGACGCGCCCACGACGGGCGGCGACTTACGGAGCACGGGCGTCGCCCGCGCCTCGAGGCGCGCGCGCGCGGCGGCCCCGGCCGGTCGCGCGCGCCGGCGGCCCCGGAGGGCGGCCCGGCGCGCGGTCATTCGAGGAGCCGGCGCGGCGCGCGGCGGGGCGCCTATTCCAGGTCGTGGAGCCACCTGCCGCCGTTGAACTTGCCGCCGCCACACTAATTTGGTTGACCCTCAACTGAATCCGCCCGGCATATGCATCGTCAAGGCAGCCCCGGGCGGTCGGACCTGCAGGGCCGCGAACGCTGCGGGGTGGAGGACGATGGCACGGTGGTGGCGTTTCTTTCTGTTCCTCGCGCCCGTCGCGAGCGTCGACATGCCGTGCGCGCTGACGCCGCAGACGGTCGCGCGCATCCGCGAGTGGGTCCACTCCGGCGTCGATCCCGGTGGCGACGCGTTCGACGCCGTCCACTGCGCCGTCGTGCGCGCGGCCGGCGGCGTCGTCGGCGGGCTCGGCGGCGGCGCCGCGGGCTACTCGCTGGCGTCGGCGTTCGCGGACCGCGTCGGCGCCCGGTTCTGCGGCGACTCCGAGCGATGCCGGTCGCGCGCGTCGACGTTCGCGCGCGTCGCCG